GACACAGGAGCCTGGTAGGCTACAGTCCATGAGGTCCCAAAGAGTCGGACATGACTGAGCATGCGCACATGTGTGTTACTTAGCAAATGCTTAGACGTTGTTTCTGTGTGCCAGACATCATGCCAAGTGCTTTACCTATATTAGCTTTTTTAATCCTCATGGCAATGTCATGAGGAATTTATATTATTATTATAATATAATAATATTATGGCTATTTTATAGATAGAAGACTGGGGCATAGAGAAGCTAAGTTTTGCTCAAGGGTTGTGGAAAAGTACAGACATGCACACACAATATCTGCTTTAAAAAACATTCTTGTCTTGGGAGGAAGTAAAAGGAGAAGAGGGACCATACCTTCTGCCAGGTATCTGACATAAGGGATCTTCCTTAAGCCCCACAATAACTATCAATAATGTGGGCATTTTCATTATTTATAGATAAGGAGTCTATAGCTTAAGGGGTGATCCATAACTTGCCTGTGACCACAGAGTGACTCCAAAGCATGGACACTTTGTGCACATCACACAGTGTCCACCTGGGTCTGTGGTTTAGAGTCTGGACGTTACGATGGCTCCTGTTGCCCACCGCCCCCACCTGGGAAAGGGTCTGCTGGCTGCCCAGCCTCTGCCTGGGCCCCTTGAGGTGACGAGGGCCCTGAAGGGGTGGGACTGACCCACGAGAGCCCACTACCCCCCTTCTCAGCCTGGTGGCCGGGGCATGGCACTGACCTCTCTCTGCCCCAGCTCCCTCGTCTGTAAACTGGGCTGATTTATGCCTCTCTTGTAGGCTGGATGTAAAGCTCATGTGAAGAGATTAGAACAGAGTGAGCAGCCTAATGTAAATCTTCTGGGTGAATCTCTGCCTGTCAGCTGTAGGTGTACACTTAGCCCCTCCTTTTCGGATTTCCTCCCCATTTTGGTCACCATAGAGCACTGAGGAGAGTTTCCTGCTCTGTACAGTAGTTCTCATTAGTTACTGATTTTATACACAGTGAAGGTAAAAGTGAAGTCGCTCAGTCGTGTCCGACTCTTTGTGACCCCATGGACTATAGCCCACCAGGGTCCTCCGTCCATGGGATTTTCCAGGCAAGAGTACTGGAGTGCATTGCCATTTCCTCCTCCAGGGGATCTTCCCGACCCAGGGATTGAACCTGGCTCTCCTGCATTACAGGCAGATGCTTTACGGTCTGAGCCACCAGGGAAGCCCCGAGTAAGTGTGTATATGTTGATGTTTATCATCATCATTAAGCCAACCCATTCCATTGTTGGACACTCTTTTTATTAAAAAGTCATCCTCTTCCTCTGACTCATTCATTCACTGCTTCTAGCTCTCCAGCTATATATGCTTTTGAATGTGTCTTACAGTGAAACCCTTTAAAAATATTTATTTTTCTATTTGTGGTCACTAAATTAACACATCTTTTGATTAATGTTACCTTAGCACAAGTTATTTGGGAAAAAATCCTAGTATATTTAAAGGTAAAAAGAGCTTTTAGGAGGAAATAAAACCCGCCTGTAATTTCCACAACAAAAATAGCCAAGTTTAACACATTGGTGTACTTGTATCTGCCTTCCAGTCTTTTTCTGCACATATAGCAAGTACACACACACACACACAGCCCCGGCATCCTCTTGTGCGTGCATGCTCAGTTGCTCCAGTCATCTCTGACTCTTTGAGACCCCATGGACTGTAGCCCGCCAGGCTCCTCTGTCCATGGGATTCTCCAGGCAAGCATACAGAAGTGAGTTGCCATGCCCTCTTCCAGGGGATCTTCCAGACCCAGAGATGGAATCCTTATACTCCTGTGGTTCCTGCATTGCAGGTGGGTTCTTTACTGCTGAGCCACCAGGGAAGTCTCTCTAATTGAATAGCATTTTCTATTCCACTTAAAACCATGCTATGCCTTGGAGACCCTCACCTCTGACACCAGGTGAGTGAACTTTTTCTGCCCACTTTTCCTGGGTGGATGTCCTAGGAGCTTTGCTAACTTATAGTCAAATCATATGGAGAAGTTGCCAGGTTTAGGGAGCAGGTAGTCACTTATCCAAAGAAGGCTGACAGTGGATCAGTTGGTAGATATGGATGTAGGTTATAGATGAGAGAGATGTATATTTTATATTTTTATTTGAATGTACTAAGAGTGGTTTTTAAAAGACGTTAGAGAAAAGTTTAACCTTTCAAGTGAATTTTGGTCTCATTGATTGCATGTTTCGCTTGGTTTGTTTGGTATCTAAAACACTATGTTAGTTACCACAATGGTATTTGGTAAAATGAGACATCCATTCCATGAATCAGTTAAGAAATAGGAACAGCAGCAGATTTCCTTGACGTCATAAAGTGTATTTGTCTTAAACCCACAATTATATTCAAGGACCAAGCAAGTTTACTTACCATCACCATAATCATGATCATTTTAATCATTGTTGCTTTAGAGTTTTTTTCCCCTCCAGACACTGTTTGAGGCTCTTTATAAACATTATCCTTAGTTTTTCAAGTGATCCTTTAAAGTAGATTATTATTAAGAAGTTTTTGGGTTGTAATTTGAAATCAGATATGTTTCACTGCAGAACCCCACACATGGCCTTTCTTTTCCCAGTTACTGGTCATTATTATCAAATATCTTGGAAACTCTGGCCAATGAAATAAGACTTGAAAAGAAATGAAACATTTAACTGTTTGAAGTGAGAAAATAGTATCATTATTTGTAGCCCACAGGTTTCATAAAATTAGAAAATTCATGAGACTTAATGACAAATTATTAGAACAAATTTGAAAATTTGGTGAAATGGCAGGACACATGGCAATGGCCCTAGAAACTCTTTATCCAGGAATTCAGATTTTGAAAGCATAATACATACACAGAACAGCAAGGGAGGGGAGGGCAGGAACCTATCTTAGCTGCTGGTCAAATCAGTTGACATCACTTGTGAAGAGTTACTGCAGCACAATTGTCTTCATAGCTACTAACCAATCAAAGTATCTGGGAAAGATGATCTCATTCATACTAGTAGCAATGATCATAATACACAACACAGTATCACATCATAGTAGCATCATAAAGTAGAAATAAACCGAATGCTGGGACTTCCCTGGTGGTCCAGTGGCTAAGACTTTGAGCTCCCAATGCAGGGGGCCCAGGTTTGATTCCTGGTCAGGGAGCTAGACCCCACATGCCACAAGTAAGCATTTGCATGCTGCAACTCTAGATCCCATATGCTGCAATTAAGACCTGAAGCAGCCAAATCAATAAGTAAATAGAATGAAAGTGTTAAAGAAAAGTTAGTCATTATTTAAAGAAAAAAACTTATGGGGAAAAGGAAGGACTAGAATAAATGAGGTTAGGACAATTGATCTTTTCTTCTGCTGTGGACTGAATTGTATCTTCCCAAAATTCGTTTGTTGAAGCCTTAGTGCCCCAGTTGACTGTTTTGAAGATAGAGCTTATGGCAGGTAGTTGAGGTCATGAGTCTAGTGCGCTAGGATTGGTGGTCTTTTAAGAAGAGAAAATGTGATGACATGGAGGGAAGGTGGCAGTCTGTAATCCAGCAAGAGGGTTCTTACTGGCAGCCAGTTTGGCTGGCACCTTCACCTTGGACTTCCCATTCCCCAGACTGTGAGGAAATACATTTCTTTTATTCAGGCCACTCAGTGTATGGTATTTTGTTATGGCAACCGGAGCTGACCAATACATCTTAGTTAACTCTACCTCTTAAGGCTTTGTCTAGTATTAAAAAAACTTTCAACCTAAAAAAGCTAACAACAAATAGGAGAAAGATTGTCAAGTATTTTCAGAAAATTTGGCAAAGCTTCAGTATCTTTGTCATAAAAAACATCTTACAACTTGATGAGAAAGAACATCTGAAACTTAGAAGAGAAATGGATATAAGATATACAAATGCAGGGGGAGGGGATGGGGGGAGGTCCAAGAGGGAGGGGATATATGTATACCTGTGCCTGATTCACTTCACTGTACAGCAGGAACTAACACAACATTGTGAAGCAGTTATCCTTCCATCTAAAAAAAAAAGAAAAGAAAAAGAGATCTACAAATGCAATTTACAAGAGAAAAGCAGAACTAGAATGAGCCACGTTTTCTTAGAAATGTTTCTTGAAAATGGGAAAGAAATCCAAAAGAGAGGGGATATGTGTATACATATAAGTGATTCAGTTTGCTCTACAGCAGACACTTAACAAGACTGTAAAGCAACTACGCTCTAATAAAAACTAATTAAAAAAGAAATGCTTCTCGAGTTGGCGAGGGGGTAGTTTTGGCCATTGTGGCTGGTGAGCTGACATCCATCTGTATTGTTTGGGTAGCCCTCTTTGCTGCGGATGCATTTGTGCCTCTCAGTCTTCAAATTCTGTTGATGTATTTGCTCCCTTGCTCCTCTCTCCTTAAAGCCATGGTGCTCTGGCTTTATAACACATGCATGTCACATGTAAAGATTGCAGCTGGCTCAGTGTACTCATCACGTGACCTTCATGAAACATACACTTTCTCCATGGTAGAAACTACTTGTGTCTATCTGCCAACTTACACTTGGCATCTTGCACCAAGCCGGGAGGGCACAAGAATATACCCAGTGGGCGTTGATGGAGGCAGGCTGGTTGTGGGCCTGTCCTCACTGGCCCTTCTTCTGTGCCGATGAAACTTAATCATGGGAAATGGTCACGAAGAATAAGATGACAGCAAGTCTGGGCCCTCCCCCTGGCCCGGCCCCTGGTCCAGGGGGCACACCTGGGCAAGTCACTGGATCTCTCTTTCCTTGCATCCCTCATCTCTCTGAGGAAAGGACTGGACTTTCCAAACTCCTCAACCCTTGCCCCATAGGCAGGGTTTTTGTGGAGCATTACAGTCCACAACTTTGTTTTCCCCACATAAAATGGGACAGACATAATCTTTCCTAACTGCACATTGTCTTCCGTTTTCCGCTCCTTCCTCCTCCCCGTCAACCTCTGAGCCAGAAGGTGACTGCAGGTGGGCCTTTCCAAGTCTGCAGACGTGGGTGAAGATCTCTCACACAGCTTGACATGTCCTTAGTTCAAAGGCAGGAACGAGGTAGGTGACTTTAAAAAACTAGAGTCACGTGAAACATTATTTGTTCAGAAAACGCATTTTAGGAGTCTCCACATGGACTTCCCTAGTAGTTCAGTGGTTGAGAATCTGCCTGCCAATGCAGGGGATCCTGCGTGGGTTCGATCCCTGATCTAGAAAGATCCCACATGCAGCTAAGCCCATGTGCCACCACTACTGAGCCCGCCCTCCTGAGCCTGCGCTCTGCAGCAAGAGAAGCCTCTGCGCTGAGAAGCCGCACACCACAACAAAGGGTAGCCCTGCTCGCTCCAACTCGAGAAAGCCTGTGAGCAGCAATGAAGACCCAGTGCAGTCCCACTAATTAATTAATTAACGTTAATTAGAGACCTTTATGATATCCTGGGATAGTCACAGTTAAATAAATGTCCTCCTATTAGGACTTCTCAGTCTATTTTGGGTGGACATTGAAATCTTGGAGAAGGGAATAAGTGTGTGGCTTTTCCCTCGCCTGTTTGACCACAGAACCCTTTTCTTGAAAAATCTTAAGGGCCTGATATTCTGCGGGACTCACTTTGGGAAGTGGGGACTTTTGTTTTTGCCTGTGTTTGCACGGGCACTGATTCAGCCTTCACTTTGAGGCCTTAAGACTTAACATGGTTTAGCCTCCATTTCAGGAAAAAATACAAATTTCTTATCAGAAGCAGAGAAATGTCAGATTATGAGGTCATTGCTGTCCATACTGCCTAGCTGTCACAAACACAGTACAGTCACTGTCTACAGTGGAGAGGATTACATTAGTTGAAAGAAAAACCTGATAGCTCTCAAATTTTTGTGAGTATAGCGGAGTAGCTAAATTAAGATTATGTCTGTTAGTACTGTGAGATTCTTCTTCAGAAGTTTCGAGGGGACTAGTTCAAGTTGATCTTAGAATATGTTTATTATACACAATGTCTTTGGACATAACTGAGGATCAGATGCCTCTGTGGTTTCTGGGAGGAGGCAGAGAGCTGTAACTTCTGAGCATCACCAGCATTCCTTCACTAACAAGGGTCCAGATTTTCATATTTATCCCAGAGTGTCTTTCTGAAATACATTTTTGTAGACTCTTGCTTCCCTTCTGCCCTGGATAAGAGTCGGGATGAGAAAATCGAGCCCTATGCAAGTCATTCCCAAGAGCAATAAACAGAATCAGAGAGGCAAGAGGATTGCTCTTGCCATTTAATGGTCTGAGGACAGGGCGTCTGAGTTCATGAACTTGCAGCAAAGTGGGAAGGAGAAATTCTTTAACTGTGGTTTCTTTGAAATGTAGAATGCTCATCATTGCCTTAACAAGCTTCCAAAAGTTTCTAGCTCATAAGAAATAATATATTATGGTAATGAAGAACAGGGAAGGCACTCTCATCTAATGACAGGCCTACTTATGCTTTAAATTAATATTTCTGCCTTGGAAGGCCTGGCTGTGGAGAGCCGCCATCACTGGCTTACCGTGCAGCCTGTTGTCGTTGTTCAGTCTCTGAGTTGTGTCTGACTCTTTGTGACCCCAGGGACTGCAGCACGCCAGGCATCCCTGTCCTTCACTATCTCCCAGAGCTTGCTCAGACTCATGTCCATTGAGTTGATGATGCCATCCAACCATCTCATCCTCTGTTGCCCACTTCTCCTCCTGCCCTCAATCTTTCTCAGCATCAGGGTCTTTCTAATGAGTTTACATCAGGTGGCCAAAGTATTGGAGCCTCAGTTTCAGCATCAGTCCTCCCAATGAATATTCAGGGTTGAGTTCCTTTAGGACTAATTGGTTGGATCTCCTTGCAGTTCAAGGGACTCTCAAGAGTCTCCTCTGGCACCACAACTCAAAAGCATCAGTTCTTCAGTGCTCAACCTTCTTTATGGTCCAGTTCTCCCATCCATACATCCCTACTGGAAAAACCATAGGTTTGATGATATGGACCTTTGTCAGCAAAGAGATGTCTCTGCTTGTTAATACACTGTCTAGGTTTGTCATAGTTTTCCTTTCTTGTGGCCTGGTGGGGTGTTTTTAAGGCCCTGGGACCTCACAGTGCTCCTCATCGTGTATGGAGGGCCAGGAAGGGCTCTATAGTCAGGGATTCTGAGTCCAAATTTAAGTGGGAAGCAGACTTTCTGCTTGAACACAGATGCCCAGGGTGTGGTTGGAGCATTTGTGATGCTGCTGCAGGAGACTGGCTCTCTAGGTTTGTCCCAGTGGGCTACCAGTATTGGGACCAACAGTGGTTCTTTCCCTGTAGCTTTTGCCATGTGCCTGAACTCCTGAACATCTTACCTGCCTCCAGGGGACAGGAAACAAGAGTTCTTTATGAATGCTGTTAGCTATGAGAATTTTTTTTTTTTAACCACTGAAACTAAATACAGGCGTGCTGCCTGGGATGTTGTTTTCCAGAGGAGAAAGGCAGAGCCCAGACTAGGGAAGAGCTCAGTAGGAGCTCATGACTAAGGAAGGGCCAGGACCCAGGTCCCCTGGTTCTCCTCCCAGGTGGTGCTTTTGGTCAGCCGGACAATTTTTCTGCTCATCCCTGGACTTCTCTGTCATTAACAAAACCTCTCCTCTTTGCCGAATTACAGAAATGGCTTCAGACATCCCTGGCTCAGTGACGTTGCCCGTCGCCCCCATGGCGGCCACTGGACAGGTGAGGATGGCGGGGGCCATGCCCGCCCGAGGAGGAAAGCGGCGATCCGGGTAAGCCCCCTCGGCGTTTCCTGGAACTGCGTTGGATATGCGTTGCACAACATTCTTGACCTGTTAGGAAAATATTGTCTCTCCCTGTCCCAGAGAGTAAGAGCTCAGCAGTTTGCATCCTGTTTATTAGATTCCGCGGGATTCCTAACCAGGCATGTGATCGCCTCTTAAGTGCTTTCGGGCCTCGGCACCCAGCTGGGGACTTCTGTTTGCTTGTCCTTGCTGTGCGAACAGCTCTGTGGTCCTGCTGGGCCTCCCTCCAGCCACCTCTCTCAGGGAGGGGGCTCACCCGTCCCTCCGCCTGAGCCCCCCAGCCAGAGGCAGCCCTGAGGGTCGAGCTTCCGCTCCTGTGGGTAGCAAGGATCCTGCTGGTGCTTTCTGTTCTTTGCTCTGGCTACCAGTCTTTGCCAGGTGCTGTGCAGGAATTCCTCTCAAAAAAAAAAAAAAAAACCTGGCTCTAGTCCAGCACCTAAAGGCGGGGCGGCTTCCATTGTAATGTTGGTAAGAGTGATGAGTTCTGGTGGGACCAGAAAGACCATCACACTTGAGCCAATGGAACCCAAAACAGCATCTACTCAGGATGTCCCACATCTGTGAGTGAGTACAGGCCTCAGAAATAAATCAGCCATCACAGATCTCTGAAGGAAGAACACAGTCGACATTGTCAGACTCTTGTTTATCAACCAGCTCCTTTTCTTCATTGAATCAACTTCATTTTCAATGAAATATTTGATATACAAAGTTTCTCATGTAGAGTCAGTTTGTCCTATGAATGCATTTTCCTATAACACAGGTTCTCCCCGGGAAGACAAGGCTCCTCATTGGTAAAATGGTCCAGCATTTTAAATTTGAGAGTCTCCTCTTAACCCATGCGATTCTTAAAGGTGCATGAGCTGGCCCCAACAGGCGTGGAGGTGGGGGGCAGGTGCGTTTTGAGGCTCTAGAATGGAATAGGGTAGGATGAAAAAGCGCCTTCAGCGTTATCATTTCAAATTATGAGAAGACTGCTGCCTGTGTGCTGGTCTTCAAAAGAGGGGCTAAGATTTTGGTGATTACGGAGGGGGTTATGGAGCCTGGTTCCCCACCTTCCCTTGGTTCAGCTCCCTCCCACCCCTAAATGCCCCCAGGGTGCTGATGCAGCCAGAGTTCCATCTTGACAGTGGGACCCATGGAGCTGTTGCAAACACTGGGCTGCTAGGGGCCACACTCCTCAGATCAGCCTGCCTCCGGGGCTTACTGCAAACCCAGATATCCTCCTTTAACCAGCTCTTCTTTCTAACTAGATGCTAAACTCAGTGGAATCTGGGTTGTTAAAAGAATGCACTTCCTGTCAACATATCAACTTACTGCATGGTTTTTTTTAAAGAATCCAGGTCTTTTAAAAATTATTTTAAATGCCTATTCTCTCTCACGTCCATTCCCTGGGGACAGAGCCTCAGTGTGGGCCCAGTCCTTTTTAAGAAGAAGCCGGCACTGGACTCTCTGATGCCGGAAGGTAGGGCTGGGCCAGCACCAGGGACAGGCAGAGAAGGAAGTGGTCTCTGAGAGACTCTGCCAGGAGTCTGTGCCACCTCCCACCCCCCGCCCCCGCAGGCTTTATGCTAGGCTTCAGCGAGCCCGCCGAGTTCCTGGCCCCGGCCTGACATCTGGACCCTGACTTCCGCTGGCTCCCTGACTGATGGTCGGACGGTGGACTCAGGCGTCTTTGTGAAGGAGTCCTCCCAGCTGCCCCTTTCCCTCCCAGATCACGTATACTCAGTGTGACTCTGGAGGTGGAAGGGGACCGTGGTGGGGGAGACTGAGACACAGCCTAGAGCAGGGGTCCCCAGCCGGCTGGGTCCCCCACGGTACTGGTCCATGACCTGTTAGGACCTGGGCTGCATAGCAGGAGGTGAGCCGCAGCGAGCAATACTTGCAGCCGCTCCGCATCACTAGCGTCACCACCTGAACTCCGCCTCCTGTTGGGTCAGTGGCGGCATTAGATTCTCATAGGAGCTCAAACTCCACAGTGAACTGCACATGCAAGGGATCTGGGTTGCCTCGCTCCTTGTGAGAATCATCCTGAAACCTTCCCCCCCACCCCATCGGCGGAAAAATTGTCTTCCATGAAACCGGTCCCCACTGCCAAAAAGGTTGGGGAGTGCTGGCCTAGAGTTCTGCTCCACTTAGAGCCAAGGAAGCCCAACGCCAAGCAAAGGAACCAGAGGTTCAAGGGGATGAGCAGCGATTTGCTGACACACCCTCCCAACCAGGAGGAGGAGGGCACACACCCCCAGAGGCAGATCAGGGAACCAGCCGCCTCCCGGAAGCCTGTCCTTCATTTTCTTTATTCTTGGAGCCCTGCACCTGCCTCCATTTCCCGCTTCAGAGGGAGCAGCCAGAAAACTGTGCTTCCTTCTACTAAGGCCCTGAGCCTCACGGCGGGGAGCTCTGTGTCTCAGCTAAGAAACCTCCCTTTTCACAGGGTGATTTCCAGAGTAATTCTTACATCTGATATTTTTACATGTTTTGCTGAAATTCTGTGATGGAGGCCATCAGTGTTGTAGAGTGGCCACAGCAGTGATAGGCTCTTCTGCTCTTAGCCCCCTGGCTTGTACAAAGGAGACCCCGATGGAAGTCATGTTCCTCAAATAGTGGGTCACCCCACTCGGGGTCCCCACCCGTGAACTGTGGCACATTTACACATGCTTCCCCATCGCTGCCACCTTGCCCCTCCTCCTCCTTCTCTCCTAGAGTGTTCGGCACAGTTGGAGACACGGGGGCGGGGGAGAAGGAGAGAGGAGAGGTGGGCTGTGTCGTTGTTCAGTCGCTCAGTCGTGTCCAACTCCTTGTGATCCCAGGGACTGTGGCATGCCAGGCTTCTCTGTCCTTCATTGTCTCCCGGAGTTTGCCCAAACATGTCCAGTATTCTTGCCTGAAAAGTCCCATGGGCAGAGGAGCCCGGTGGGCTACAGTCCATGCGGTTGCAGAGAGTTGGACGTGACTGACGTGACTTAGCATAGCACACATATCCATTGAGTTGGTGATGTCATCCAACCATCTCATCCTCTGTTGCCCCCTTCTCCTGCCTTCAATCTTTCCCAGCATCAAGGTCTTTCCCAGTGAGTTGGCTCTTCACATCAGGTGGCCAAAGTCTTGGAGCTTCAGCTTCAGCATCAGTCCTTCCAATGAATATTTAGGGTTGATTTTCTTTAGGATTGACTGGTTTGATCTCCTTGCTGTCCAAGAGGTGGGCTGTGGGGGGTGGAAAGGTCCTTCTTCCCGCTCCTCTTCCCTGCCCAGGTCTTCCCACTCTGACTTGGTTATTCTGGTGGAGGAACTTGTCCCGATTCCCAGGATAACTACCCAGCCCTGGGGTTTCAGAGCCAAGTAGAATTGACCCCTAGCGGGTTTGGCTCCCCTGGCCACATGCCTGGCCCAGTGCCGGGGATCCTCTGGCCCGAATGTTCCTTCCACTCCCTGACAGCCTCCCCAGTACATGTCTTAGCAAGCTGCGTGCTCTGCGGGCAGTGGGGACACAAGGTGAAGGTTCAGAAGTTTCAGATTCTTTGCAAAGTGATTCCACATGTGTGGGAGAAGGAAGCAGAAGCCAGTCACCTGGGCTGCATTTTTGTAGAGCGCTCCCTGGTCCCGCTGAGGGGGTGGGACGGGGCTGGGGGCACCCACGGGGCACACCGGGCTCTTTCCGAAGACAGGGGAATGGGCTGTCATTGGATTGTGCCCGCTCCAGAGTCAGCCCCTGTTGGGAAGGGGAGCTAAGGGTGGTGGGGACCAGGAGTCCTAGCCCCTTCCCGCTGCCTTGGCATCAGATGCCGGGCTTCTAAAGCATCATCATTGAGGGGAATGATTTCCAAATTGTGTGCAACCAGTACACCAGCGTCTCCCTGCAGTGTAAGCCCATGGCTGCTGGAATGTGGTGAAATAAAAGGCATGTTACATAAGTACATGTTTCGCTTGGTTCGGATTTATGCAGTAGTGATGTTGTCATCTGGCATTTGCTGGCACCCATGTTCCTTCTTCACCTTTTGTCAATAGCAGCTTTGAGCTGGCCCAGGGGTGCTCCTTTGCTGAGCTCTACAACCAGCCTAGCAGGCACAGCCTGTCATCTTTTCTCATAAGAACAAAAGTGGATTCTTTGATGACTCATAGTGGATGATGCATTATTATTATTATTACACAATCGCTGTGAGGCAGATTCACATTGCTCACTCTGAACCAGATACAAGCTCAAAAGTGCCTTTCACGGCTTTTTATTGAGGGTAGAAATCATGCAACAGGAAAGTGAGGCAAAAGGCATTTTCAGCCCACCTTTGGAGGACTCTTACATCATCCACTGATGGTACCGAATTCTTCAAAGTGAACACAGTAGGACTTAAAAGTCATATTTTGATTTTTATCCTTTATTATCCAGATGCTGCAGTATAATAGAGATGCATAAAAGATGTAAAACAAAGGATGATTTACTTGGAGGTTTTATAGCAGGAGAAATAAACAGAACTATTGGAGTCATGTTTAAAGTGGAGTATTTGAATTGGTGACAAAAGACCCAAAGACAGGGTCTTGGCAAGGAGTCTTCCAAAAGATCCTTCTGTCCTCATAAGTTGCAATTTTTCTGTGTGGCTGAGCAGTGAGTCGTTTTGGGGTCAAGTGAGTTACCCTGAGGATCTGAACAGTCCTTTGTGTCCTGTTTTCTCTCCTGAGTTCACCCCCACACGATACATTTCACAATTCCTACATGTGATCGAAGCTCATATGTGATCACACACCTGCATGGGTAGAAAGGTACAGATTTGTGGTCCCTGAATTTTCATAGAGAAGTCCTGCTTCCTCAGTTTTCAGCAGACTTCAGAAAGCAGTCCGTCTCTTACACTCTGCTTGATTGAGTTGATGTGGTCCAGACTGGGACAGTTTACCGTAAAGCTCTCCTCTCTACCTGTCTGCCCCTTGAAGATGGGGTAAAGAATTGAGCTGTCCTTATGAAAACGAGGGTGACGAATAGTCCTGGTTAGCCTGGGGCTTCCCCGGTTTCAGCACTGAAGTCCTGTACCCCCACGGATCCCCTCCTTCTGGGAAAATCAGGACAATCCGTCACCCTCAATTCTCCAAAGATCCTGCAGGCTGAGGAGGGACAGCTATCTAAAAAATTGCATCTTGCAGGAGTCAGATGATCACACTCCTATCAACTGGAGCTGAAAGGCATTTTAAAGATAACTGATCATCTCACAGCCACTTGAGGTTTTTCTAAATGCTTGCATAAATCCATTGGAATTCTGAAAATGCGATTTCTTTTTCTCAACAACTGAGCTGTTTTTGACAGCCCAGGGGTGTTAAGTAACCTTTCTGTCTGCAGCAAAGTCGCTCTTATGCATGATTAACACTAGGTGGCAGTGTGGTTCCGCAGTGCTGCAGGAGCCCAGAGACAGGCTTTTTAGTGCTTTCTTCTCCCAGATGTAATTTTCAGGAAAGGTGAGCGGCCTTAGTAGCTAAGAAGCATTTTGATGACTTTCCTTCATTTAGAAGGTTGTACATTCAGCCTTAATTTTCCCACAACGTAAACAACTCTGCTGCTGCTGTCTGGTACCCCGTTACCCAGTCTGCATTGTGGGGGGTCCTTGTCTCTCTCTCCCAGGGATGTTTTAATTCTGTTTTTCCTTTCTTATAATTTTCTTCCCTGCCTCCCCTCCTCTTTGTGCACGAGTATTTTTGCTATCGTTACCGTCGTCTCTCCAGTTATATAACCCCTTTCGTTCCTTTATTCTGAATGTGAGCCCTCATGTCTGGAAACTGGGGGTTCTAAATGGGCATAAATCCCATCGGGTCATCTCAGATCAGAACTCTGGTCACACTGCTCATGAAGCAAGATAAAAATAAACAAATGATTGTAAAAAAGACAGTGTTCCTTTGCCCTGTGTCATCCCAGTCCTTTGGTTTCCCACATAACCCCAAAGCCTCAAGAGTTTACCTCTTTAGGGGGCTCTCCCATGTGCTTGTGGAGTGATAGCTCTTCTCTTGAAAGTTGGCCTGGGAGCCCCGAGCCCTCCCCACATCAGCACTACCTCCTGTGCCCCAGCCTGAGAGCTGGGGATGGGGTCATATCCCCCATGAGGCCAGCAGCTGTGGTCCTGGAGCACACCTGCTGTTCTTGTGGCAAGCTCCTGGCCACCAAGCAGGCTGGACTCCCTTCTGCCTGGAGTCCACCGGAACTGTGTCCTACTCAATCCATCAGGTGCCCTAAGAACAAGATGGGGAGTGCAGAATGCCTGAGATGTTCTTCCCCAAGGAAGCCCACTCCCAATGAATGTCCAGGAGAGTCAAAACATCTGTACTGTTTTTATTTTGTTCCTGAAGACTCTGGGTACACCTCGTACTAATTAACTGTTCTGCCCTAACATCTTCAAGGAGTAAAATTAATTGACATTAGAGAGGGCTGCTTTGTTGTTTTTCTTTTATTGAGAAGGAGAGTTTGGGATATCAGCTAAACAAATATCAGTCAAAACTTTTTGTTCTGTGTTTGTTTGGAGAGACCCAGTAAAGTGGGAATCTGAGTATGTCTTGGGTGAGTTTCAATAAGCAGGCGGCCACTCTGACTAGCTCAGGCACCAAACAACTGTATCTCCTCCCACGTCCATTTACTTGGACCCAGAGTTTATAGGGTAATGGCCTTAAATGCCTTTTTCACTTAGACTTATCGAGGCCAGCCAAGTCATCACATGGCACAACCAGCAGTATGTCTTCTTTGCCTCTAAAGCTTCTTGTTTCCCAAGCTCCCTGGAGCTTTCTCCATCTGTTAATATACCACTAGATAGTCAAAGGAGGAAGTCCAGTGTTGACACATGACGTAGAGGGGTGCAGGTATCCCCAAAGATGGTGGGAGATAAGGGATGTTGACTTTTCCAGCACGGCAGCCTGTAAAGTGTTCTTGAAGGGTCGAGTCAGTATTTCAGCACTTTGCAGAAGCCCTCAACCATGTGATTAATAACGCTGGTACTGTAGACCTTTCATTTTGTCTTTTCTTGTCCCAAACCCGTTTGAGGACTGTGTGGATATACTGTTTATTTAGTGCACTGTCAAGGGCTGGGATTGTTGGAGAGCAGTCTGACCAAATCAACCCCCCTCTGAGCCAACAGCTCTTGTGTCCAGTTAAATGTTCTACTTCTAACAAATGTTCACTTGTGAACTTGACTTTTCCAGAATGGACTTTGATGATGAAGATGGCGAAGGTCCCAGCAAGTTTTCAAGGTGAGTTTCCTTTATGTTCCCTAGATCTAAAGAAGCCCAAACAGCCAGTTATCACCTTGTTGGAATGTACAGGGGTTTGAATGTCTTTCGTCACTGAAGAAAACCATTGCCTGTTACGTGGCATGGGAGGGGAGTTTGGGGGAGAATGGATACGTGTATATGTATGGCTGAGTCCCTTCACTGTGTACCTAAAACTCACAAGGTTGTTAAATGGCTGTACTACAATGCAACATAGTTTTAAAACCTTTAGAAAAAGAAGAAGAAAAAAGCCATTGCCTGTAACTTCACAGCCTTGTCCTTCATTCTGTGCTCATATTTGGCTCAGGGACAGGTCACTCTTAGCAAAACCTGCTATATCCCAGCCTAGATTTTCAAAAGTTAAGTATTAACAAGTGATTAACTCTGTTGGCTTTTTAAATTAAACAGACTGCCAGTTTTAATGGATCCCTTTTTAAAATACAGGCCTAAAGTTCAAGTTTAGAAAAACAATCAAGATAAAACCTCTTTTTCTACCATGGGAAATAACGAGAAATATAAGAAACCTGGGTGGCCCTGTTCTGGATGCAGAATACTGGACCTTAAGTTCCTAAGAGCTACATCACTCACTGGCCACATGACAGCATCTCTAACTAGGCTCTGCAGGGCTGTCTGGAGTGCAGACTGCCTTCCAGAAGGATGCTAGCCTGTGGGTGCTGTGATGGTAGGTGCGTCACTTACATGAAGGGTGAGGCGTGCCCAGTCCCATGGCTCTTTATTATTATTATTATTATTATTATCTTGTTTTAAGTTATGGGAGGAAGTTTGGCAATGTTGAGAAAAAGAGCAAAGATCATTCCTTCAATTTTAGCAAACTTCCCATCTGGAAGGACCTGCCTTGACATTCCTCCCCCCTCCACCCCCCACTGCCCAAGAATTGCTAATTCTTGGTTGCTGATGAATTTGAAAACCTACCCTGGGTGATGGGTACCTTTCTTTGGTATGCACAGCCCACAGTTTGTACTGACAGCCGTATGCACAGCCCACAGTTTGTACTGACAGCCTCGGCTATTTTATAAAAGCTTTTGAGGACTTTCCTGGTGGTCCAGTGGCTAAAACTTCACCTTCCAATGCAGGGGGTGTGGGTTCGCTCGCTGTTCAGGGAGCTAAGATCCCATATGCCTCATGGTCAAAAAACCAAAACATAAAATAGAAGCAGTATTGTAACAGATTCAATAAAAGCTTTAAAAATGGCCCACATTAAAAAAAAAAAAACTTTAAATGTTTAGAAGAATGATGTCTGTATTGAACTCTGTACCCATGACCTCCCCGAGTTTGCTCATTCCCATGGAAGTTACTTTTGGTCGGGTTCCTTTTACCCATATTATAGGCATGAATCCTTTCCCCAAACCCAAAAGGAACAGGCATCTAGTTCCTATTCCTGGGCCCGGACTCTCCAGGTCCATTGAAAGTCTCAACCTTGATTCACTTTCCTCCCCGAGAACTCCCCGAGTTCCATCCTCCCCTCAGTTCCCATGAGACAGGAACGAGGAGGTGGAACCCTCTTTGATCTCTGATGACCCTTCTTATCAAATCAAGACACAGATTTCAACAACAAGAGCATGTAATATTTTCTGCTGGGTGCAGACAGAACCCAAGGGACATCCACCTCTTTCTTAGGATACAAATGACTAGCAGGAGTGCTGTGTTCCTGAAAGGAAGCTGGCCTGGGAAATAAGGGCACATGTCACCCCAGGTTGGTTTGTGCTAGCCTTACACAGCTTCCCTTTGTGAGGAAACAAAGCCTTGTGATTCCTCTGAATCAGAATTCCCCTGGAGATAACGTTCCATAGCGTGTTGACCTTAGGAAGTGACGGTTCCTGGGTCTCAGAACAGAAGGAGGAAGAGAGATGAGGAGTGACATTTGTTTGACATGGAAGATCAGTGTCAGTGATGAAATAACAGTGCAAGGACACAGAGAACTCATTGTCTGAGGTCCCTCCAGGAAGAAACAGAAACCCTAGACTCTGTGCTGTAAGCCTGCCCTTGAGTCAGGTTGTACATAAGTCAGGGTTCAAACCTGGGCTTCTGTGAGCCACATCCTTCCCCCTCCCCACACATTAAAAATAAGAGGGAAAGATGGGGTGAGCTTACAACATATGCTGGTGCTGGCGGGAGCCTGGGGCCGCTTCAGTCTGTCGGCAGAAGGGTTGATGGACCTGTCGGCTGCTGGGGACATCTGAGCTGCTCCCAGCTGGGGAGACCACTGGGTCCACCCCTCCCTTCGCTTTGCCAGCTGCACTGGCCACCATCCAGAGGCAGGCCAGAGAGACTGCTGCAGGCTGTCTCCCTTGGTGACAGGCATGGCATGCCTTGGGGTGGCTTCTATTTCCTGCTCCTTGTTCTCAGTCAGCCGAGGGAGCCCTCAGGCCAGGTGTCAGAAGAGAGAGGGGCTGAGAGGCAGGCGTCTCGCCAGCAATTTGCTGTCTCAGAACCCAGCCAGTGCACTAGACCATGGTTTCTGTCACCCTGAGCTACCCTGGTCGCTCAGACGTAAAGATCCTCCATGCAGTGCACGAATCATAGGAGACACGGGTTTGATCCCTGGGTCCAGAAGATCCCCCCAGGAGGGCATAGCAACCCACTGCAGTGTTCTTGCCTGGAGAATCCCATGGACGGAGGGGTCTGGTGGGCTACAGTCCATGGGGTCACAAAGATTCAGACACGACTGCGCAACTGACACTTCACTTCTTTACATCACCCTGATGTGCGCAGCCAGCTTTGCCAGCTTCTCTTGACCGTGGTCCCAAATTCAAACGTCCCACCTGACATCAGGCGTTGTGTCTCAATTTCGGATTTGGGGAATATGGTCACAGTCACATAGGAGGTACATTGTGGCCAATTAGGTTTGCTTCCTATGTTCTCACAGCAGGTCTCAAATATTAAGCTGCTTACGGCTGGCTGCCTGATCACACAGATGTGCACACATGCATTTTTTAATAGATAAAAGAGGATTTATTTATATATGTGTGTGTGTGCTAAGTCTCTTCAGTCGTGTCTGACTCTGCGACCCCATGGCTATAGCCCTTAAGGCTCCTCTGTCCATGGGATTCTCCAGGCAAGAATACTGGAGTGGGTTGCCATTTCCTCCCCCAGGGGATCTTTGCAACCCAGGAATTGAATCCTTGTCTCTTGCGTTGGCAGGTAGGTTCTTTACCACTAGAGCCACCTGAGAAGCCCTTATAAATATATACATGTATATATATCCCCTGCCTTGGGCTTGATCCAAAACATACTGATGATGGCTTAAAAAGGGATTGCAAAAAGGTTTTTTTAAGATTTATTTATTTTATTTGGCTGTGTTGGGTCTTCACTGCCGTTGGCAGGCTTTTCTAGTTGCAGCCAGCGGGGGCTACTCTGTAGTTGTGATGCGTGGGCTTCTCATTGTGGTGGTTTCTCTTGTTGCCACCACCACAAGAGAAGGGCTTGTGGGCTCTAGGCATGCAGGCTTCAGTAGTTGTGGTGCATGGGTTTAGTTGCTCTGAGGCATGTGGGATCTCCTCAGACCAGGGATTGATCCCCTGTGTTGGCGAATTCTTAACCATTGTACCACCAGGGCAACCCCATAGTAACTTTTTGAAAAATGTTCAAAGTCTTAAATATATTACTCTTCCCCTAGAGCTGGCTGCTTCCAAACTTAATATTTTGCATGTTTTCTCTCTGTTGCTTGGTGACTATATTTGCTTCTCCTTTCTGCAGTTGTCGTTTTACAGCTGATTTTTGCTGATTTGTCGACAGATGTTTTACTTTCTGTTTCACCAGTTCTGGAGGAAATGTGTAGGGGTACTCAGCTGCTGCGCACATGTCCACACCTGTGCACACGCAAGGGTGCACACACCTGGTGCCAGGGCCAGAAATGCCCAAGACTCGCTTCACCGTCCCCAGGTCTCAGGCTTCCCTCCCCCATGCTGTTGATGCTGCTCTGGGGGCTGGGACATGCAGGACAGGGCTCTGCTGACCAAGGTGCTCCCTTCCCCACACACAAAGTCACAGGCAACCTGGGGGACAGAAGCTGGTCTGCAGGGGCCAAGGAGTGGACTGGGGATGAGGAACTGGAGACCAGAGGGGACAGTGTATTGAGCAGTTTGTTGTTCAATCACTCAGTGGCTTCCGACTCTTTGTGACCCCATGCACTATAGCCCACCAGGCTCCTCTGTCCACAGGATTTCCCAGGCAAGTACACGGGAGTGGGTTGGCATTTCCTCCTCCAGGGGATCTTCCCGACCCAGGGATCAAACCCGGGTTTCCTGTGGCTCTTGTATCGGCAAGCAGATTCTTTACTGCTGGGCCTCCTGTATTGTGTAGTGGTCATTAAAACAGAAGAGTGGACACATGAAATAGAGATGTTCTTAAATGTTGGTTGTTGTTGTTTTTTTTTAATTTTTGGCCATGCTGGGTCTTCCTTGTGGCGCCCAGGCTTCTCTAGTTGTGTCCCATGGGCTTTAGTTGCCCCACGGCATATGGGATCTTAGTTCCCCAACCAGGGCTCAAACCCTAGTCCCCTGCATTGGAAGGCGGATTCTCAACCACTGGACCACCAGGGAAGTCTCTAAATTTGGAGTTTATATCTTAGGAACACCCAAGTGCTCACTCCCAAACCTTTCATTTTTGTTGCTATGTGCTATCACCCTGATTTTTTGCTGCGTTCTTACTCATTCTGCATCCTTTCTCAGAAGACTCAGAAGGTCTCGGAAGGAGTTCTCATACCTGTTGCTCTGCATTCATTTATAGCGCATGGGGCCGTTTACAAACCTGAAATCAAAAGACCTGGATGGGTTTTATTAGCCTCTCTTCCACCCTTCCTTCACCCTTCACCTTTGGAGGACCGTCTCTGAGCTTCCTGGTGTTCCACCTTTAACCTGTATGACTTTCAACTGTTCCCTCCGACATGGTCGAACCCAGTTGCATTAGCCCTAAGGAGTTGTGATATTTTGCAGGGTTTCACAAGTGAACTGCTAACATTA